ACCATGGAGATCAACCAATCCTACTTGAGAACACAAAATTTGACGGTTGGGATAGAGTGGTCATCTGACTAGTTCTGCAAAAGGAAAAATCATAGGTGATGAATTATGTGGAGAGAAGCTTCACCAAGTATTTACTTCTTTTACTTACTTTAACTAGGGTTTTGGTACAATAATTGTGTGACATTATTCGTGTGTCCCTTGAAGCCCACCCACTCTTGCTTTTTAATTTCAATGTGCTTTTTCTATTTTATTTTATTTTTATTTTTAATTCTCATCACCTTAGTTAAGTACAAGGGAAAAAATATGACCCACACGAGTGACAAATGATTAAGGGGTTTTAAGACATGAGTCGTAGTCCTTAGCTTGACTCTCACAAAGAGTAAAAATTTGCGAATTTAAATGATATATGTGATTAATTTGTGGTTAAAAGTTTTCCGTTTTCAAAATATATATGAGTAAATTTTACGGAGTACTTATTTTTCTTAAAGTTCGTCAATATCCCACATAGACCCCCTTTACGTTTCGTAACTTCACTTACCTCTTTGTTATTGACTAGAAGATTAATTTTGCTCTACTAATGTTTGAAATGAGAGCAAACATTTCATAAGCAAAATAGTAAAATAACACACTTAAAAGGAAGGTAAATAGGATGATCAATTTTGCGCTATCAATGATATATATAAATAAAACAAGAAAAAAGACAAGTAGGGCATTGAGGGATCCACAGCCAACAATCATTTTGGTTTGGTCAGAGTGTAATTTAGGAGTGGAGGCCCATTGTCCTCGTGTGATTTGCATCACTGCTGTCCCAATGCTTTTAAGACCCTTAAGAGAATTGTTCACCATCCAAAAACAGTTAAAAACTGCTTTTAAAACTCTTGAGAGAATTTGTTCACTATCCAAAAAGAGTTAAAAATGACTTTCACAATAACTACTATAGGTTCTAGCCCCTAGTCAGTAGTGCATTTTTTTCTTTCCAGGCTTATTAAGTTAACTCTTGTAGTAACTTCTATAATGATCCATCCTTGAAGAGTGTGCTTTTTTAAGCATTACTAGACAAGCAAAACATGTGAGGGTTGACTGTAAAAGCTAATAGAATCTACGGAAGGTGAATGTGTTCTAATCCAATCTTAACAGGGACTTTTGTTTTATTTTAAATTTTAGTCAATTTATTTATTTATTTATCCATTATCTGATTTAATTAACATTGGTCAATTAATTAATTAGGTTATGACTTTTAACCTAATAAACATGTATTAAACAAGCATACTATAAGGAAGTAAATCAGAGATGCACAATTTGAGATGAAAATTCAAAGGAAAAAATCACAATTTTCATCTATTAATTACTCCAATATATATATATATATTTGAGTAGTGATGTGACTAGTGGGGGTGTCTCACAAATGGGTGAACCTCCTAAAAGCGGCTAGTGGGGCTATTGTTCGTCATATTGTCCGATACGTGACATGTGACCCGTATCGATCAGTATATATTAACTTTATTCGAGTTCGTTACACCGCGATCGATACCGGGACTGCGAACCATCGATGGGGCTTGCCCCAATGTAAGACATTTGACTGGTTGGGTGTCGTTAATTTCTTATATATATATATATATATATATATATATATATATGTATGTATGTACACACAAACTCACAATGTTACCCTTCGTAGAGTTCAAATAGTTACTGGAGAAAGATTACATCATTCATTATTTGACTTCGATTAATCAATTATATCACCTTATGATAAATGAACAATAATCATATGTAAACCAACGAGTTAGTGGTCTAGTGGTATCAGCTTCTTACTTTTTAAAGGGAGGTCAATGGTTTAAGTCTCAGAAGAGACATGAATAACCATATGTAAAATAAATACAAAATCGAAGTGGACGAGGAAATTGAGCAAAATAGAGAGAATTGTGCTTAGTTATTAGGCATTGTTCTTAATATATATATTTTTAATTTCAATTCTACTACACCAATTCTTTGCTATTGAACATAATATAAATATATTCCTAAAACTGGTTGAAAAGATAGTTTTAACCGCATCCCGCAAAGTCGGTTACGGCAAATATAGTGAGTACATAATTTATTTTAACTTTCGCACAAAATGAGTACTGGGTAAATAATTTTTACAGTAATGTTCGATAGCCATCTCTTTTGAGTAATTCTATATTTGCCGCCACCGACTTTAGGAATGTGGTTAAAACTACCTTTTCAACCTGTTTTATATTTGCCTTTTATTTTTCTTATTTGATTGTCCAAAAGAGCCTTAAGATTAAAAACGCTGAGTTTTAGGAGAGTAAAATGAGGGAATTAGTCAAAAGCTTCCCTTAATTGCTTGGCCGCAAGTGTTGTCTTGACACGCATATCTATGCTCAAAACACGCCCCAATGTTGCGTACTTTTTGATTGTTAATGGGACTACTGCAACTTTGTTATTCTAATTGTTCACACTGCAAAGAATTAATTTTAAGTATGCAACAATTAATAAATTTAATTAGTTATCAATCCAAATCCAAATTCTTTTCAGGTAAATATTGATTATGAACTGTTTATATATTATACGTATTGACGGATTATCCGATGCACCCGATATCTATTTGGTAAAGTTGAACGGATTGAACCTCTGAAGTTGAATGGATTGAACCTCTGAATTGGACATGTGTGAGATTAATCTCATAGTAAATGTAAAAAAACATGCCATGGTGATTAATTTTTGAGACTAGGTGGGGCTAAAACCATTTGGGGTGTGGGGGTGTCCATATTTAATGGTCTATAGAGTAGTCCATGTGGTGTCCCTTTCAACCTCAGGTGGCCATTTATCATTGGTTTCTTGAACTCTCCCCAGCATGAAACTTGCCTCCATCGAACCTTTTCATTAAATTGTGACCGGTACTTAACTTTTTGTCTAACTAATCTAACTTTTTCAATTTTCTTGTTTTTAGGTAACCGCATTCTCAATACAAATAATAATTCATCGCCGCATCAAAATGAGAAAAAATAAAAAAGTGAAAAGTATAAAATAATAAATTAAGGGTTTGATTATTTTTTTTGTCACAATTTTTTACTAACAAACTATATTATTTTTGTCCTATTCAGTTTTATAATAAATCAGCAATTTTAATTTATATGCCCTCTTTTTCATACATAATTAAAGAGTTATGAAGATTAGTGTTTTGAATATTAATACTTCTCAGAAACACAAGAATACGTTTTTATTAAAATTTAAATGTGTAAGAAATTGATAATAATAATTTTTTTTTTTTTTTTTTGGTGATACTATGTGGTATATGATACTTAGGTTATATAGCAATATTTATCAAACAAAAATTAAAATACAATATTTAATAAGTTTTGAATATTAAAATATTACTTTTTTCAAGAGTAATACCACGTTTTAATTGTAAATAAAAAAAAAATAGAATTTCTTTATAACTAAGCGTTGAAAAATATATCATGATTAATTTAGTTTAAAATTTATCCATGTATGTTGTAAAACTTTTAAGAAGTTCGGTAATGTCTTTGAATGGAATTACTTTGAGGCCTTACACTAAATGATTCTCTTTACTTAACTTGCAAAAACTTAAAGGAAATATAAAAATACCTTTTACGCTTTTTTTACTCGATAGATAGTGATTTAATTGTGTTGAAAATTACAGATAGCTTGATAGTCCAGTAGTTGTACATGCAGTGGACTTTGGAGTGACAATCTAATATAAAAGAAACTCTCTTGACCGATAGAAAAACAGCTGTGTATTTATTTGGTAACTAATATAATACACCAACTATAATTAAATCATTAAAAGAAAAGAAAATATATAATTAATATATTAAGATATGAGACATTTTCTCCTATATAAAACTATATAGTTTAAATATATCAAATCACTTTAAGGGTAAGTCAAAATTTCCTTAACTATTAATTTTAACAAAACAAATACAATATTAAATAAGATTTCTTGAACACAAAATATACACTCAAAGTGTATTACCATTTAGGACTTTAGTAATGATTCGTTCATATATACTGTATTATGTATTCAGAATTAGGATTTTGGTCGGAAAATTTTCGCATTGTCTATCTACTATTCTATAATTTAATATGAGTTCTCTTTTCTTATTGGGATTTTAGACAATCAGTCTTAATTGCTTTATGGTAAACGACATTTGTTCTTAAAATGAATTGACAATTAGATCCATTTAATTGTATACAGACTTTTTCTTTTTTAACTTTGAGCCAAGTCAGATTAGGAGAATTTTCGCATTGTCTATCTATTTCTATAATTTAATATGAGGTCCCTTCTCTTATTGGGATTTTAGACAATCAGTCTTAATTGCCTTATGGGCAAGCGACATCTGTCATTAAAATAAATTGACAATTAGATTCATTTAATTGTATACCGACTCAGTTTTGGAGAATTTTTGCATTGTCTATCTATTATTCTATAATTTAATACGAGGTCCCTTCTCTTATTGGGATTTTAGACAATCAGGCTGTCTTATGGGTAAGCCATATCTGTTCCATTTAATTGTTTGGCCTTCCAAATGCTACATTAACAGTAGTAGATCATACGATTGAACCAAATCACAGTGGTCCATGTTTTCGAGCCTTTTTATATGATGACATGGCATAATTTAATTGGTTCTTGGGTCACACAGTTACAAATAAAACCCTACCCAATGACTAATGCAGGGAACCCATCCCTAGCCCTCTAGTCCCTATTCCCTAACAACACACCCATCGCCGGGATCTGATATCCATTGCCGGCCGTTGACGCAATTCTATGCGCTTTGCATAATTGCCACTGCCACTCACACATTGTAGTTGAAACAGTTAAAGTTTTCTGAATCTTTACAGACAACAAATTAGTGAAATTATGCCATTGAGTGAAAATATATATATATATATATATATATATTTATATAATAGGAGAGAGAAAAAGACATATTAAAAAGTACAAATAATACCAAAAACTGACTATAAAGAGCCACCTCTCTCTCCCCATTACTTGCTCTACTTCACTACTCTCTCTCTCAACATCCCCCTCTCTCTCTCTTGCAATGCCACAACACTGCTTTGTCTCTCTTCTACTTTGGTAGAAAGAAACAGAACAGAGGTCTTGTTTGGCAGAAACTGCAAGAGTAGAGATCTTGATAAAGCAAAGATCAGTGACTTTTTTTGGTTCTCTCTTACTGGGTAAAGAGAGATCTGAACTGGGTTCATCACATTGTTGTATAATTCCGTATACATAAAGAGAGAGAGCAGATCTAGTTCTTATCCCCTGTTTTGAGTCCTCTGTTTTCAATTTATACTACTCTGTTTTAGAGAGAGAAAATGGCCGAGGTTTCTGCGAATTCTCTGATACCAGAGACGTTTCAGGGAACGAGAGGAGACATAGCAGGGACAATTGGGTTGATGTGGGAACTTATCAAAGCACCATTGATAGTCCCATTGCTGAGGCTTGCTGTGTATATGTGCTTGACCATGTCACTAATGCTCTTCTTCGAGAGGCTATACATGGGTATAGTCATCATTCTCGTGAAGCTCTTCTGGAAAAAGCCCGATAAGCGGTACAATTGGGAGCCAATCCATGAAGATTTGGAGATTGGCAATTTGGCTTTTCCAGTTGTACTTGTTCAAATCCCAATGTTCAATGAAAGAGAGGTTTGTCTTCTCTGTCTAACACTGCGCGTGTGTGTGTTTTGTTAATGAGATTTGGGAATATAGATTTTGGTTCTTTTTGGTTTTTGGGTATGTGAGAAAAAGCTGAAGTTTGGTATTTGTTTTTGTCAATGGTGTGTGTTTGGGACAGGTTTACAAGATCTCCATTGGAGCTGCTTGTGGGCTTTCATGGCCGGCTGATCGCCTCGTCATTCAAGTGCTTGATGATTCAACTGACCCTATCATAAAGGTACTTCAAAATCAAACCCATCATCGTATTGTTTCTTCATGAAATTTAATTCTGTTACTGTTTTATAAAACCCAAACTTCCCCCTATTTTTTCACTGATTTTGGGGGTTTTCTTCTGGTGCATAGTCGTCACACACCAAGTCTAGCAAACAATTCATTTTAATGTAAGAATGTATATTTCTTGTATTTATTAGCATTGGTCTTGATCTTGTAATTCAATCAATTTCAGATCTGGGTTTCTGTAATCACTGTCATTTAACTTCAATTTCGCCATATCTATACATAATTTACATGCTATATATATAAAAAATTCAGTGTCGTTCACTTTTGGGCTTGTGTTAATTTTGGCATTTAATTTCAGCATTTTAATATCTAAATTTATGACACATTTCTTAACATACCAAGACCAACATTATTATTGACATATCATAATCTTGAATTTCTTCAATTATATGATCTGAGTTTGTTGATTTCATCATTATTACATTAATGGTTTTAGGATATGGTGGAGACGGAATGCTTGAGGTGGGCTAGCAAAGGCCTTAACATAAGGTACCAAATTAGAGAAAACAGGGGAGGTTACAAAGCTGGTGCTCTCAAGGAAGGGTTGAAGCATGACTATGTCAAACACTGCGAATACGTCGCCATTTTCGACGCCGACTTCCGCCCTGAACCGGACTATCTCCGGCGAGCCATCCCTTTCCTCGCACAAAACCCTGAGATTGCTCTTGTTCAGGCTCGTTGGAGGTTTGGTAAGCCTTCAATACTTAACCATCATTAAGCTAATTAAGCTCTCCTGTTCAATTGACCTCGTTTTAGTGTGTCGGTGGTCTCTACTGTCACTATTATGGTTAGTTATTTACAATTTATTATATACACATATACCCTACATTTTAATATGTGAGTGAATCCAATGCTGTATACCGACGGTTATGATTATTCATACATGTGTTTTATAATACGGGACAAATGTAATCATGTACGTTCTGGCACTGGGATGGAGTGCAGACGATCCGGACTCTTTAGTGTGACCATGTGCGCCTACGTACTGTGTGACATATATATAATACTACTATATACTATATTGTTGTTGTCCTCTAGTCGGCGGGATTTGTTGCAGAATGGGAGGGTCTTCCTACACCCCTTTAATCACGGGGTGGAAGTCTGATTACGACACTACTTTGTCTTGCAACCGTCGATCACGGGTTTGGACCCACACATTCCCAAATTAGATCTACTCACAAGTCTTTAGCGTTGGAAAAGAAAAAAAGAGGGAAGAAGCACTCTCTATAGTAGGATTGAGAGACTTTCCGTAAAGGACTACACATAAGTCAGAAGTTATATTCATAGCTTATTTCCTAATTTATATATATAATAAGCAAGGAATATAACTTATATATATATTTATATAGATACTTGCATTATATTATTTAGTTGAGTGAGTGTCGGTGGAATGACGTAATTGCCTAGAACTTTTCCCGAAAATAGCAAATTGTTGCGGGATTAACGGTATGAGAGGGCTAAATATCCGGGGTAGGTTTGCCATTTTGTGATTAAGGATAAAAGAGCCATAAATATAGTGACGTTACTAAATTGTTAACAAATACGAATAAATAATAAAGGTATAGTTTTAATTGTCAATTTGTCAGCTAGAAAAAGGAAAAGGGCATATATGGATATTCCTTCTCATTTTATATCAGTCTCCACGTGCTGCTATATGCTAAAAACAGAGCCTGAGTTGTTGGACCTCACTCTACACTCAGTGAGTCAGTGGACCTTCGCTCTACCTACACTCACCGACACTTTCGTCCTTATATATGGTTAATAAAAAATAAAAACTAGTTGGATTAAAACATGGTAAAAATAAGGGATGTAAAACAAAATTTGTATTTTTAATTTAGTTTGGTAGTCCTCTTTGTTAGTTCAAAGACAAATGGGAGTTTACCAACTCAGCAGCCACGTGAAACTAATGTGGTGGGCCCATTGAAAATGAAAATATTCTCTGATTAACTGAGCTCTGAACTTCATGATTTGGTGTTAGTTCCTTCCTTTGAAGGTTAGTTGATCTGTTTTGTGTTAAAAAAAAAAAAAAAGAAAAAAAAAAACTTCATGATTTGGTTAACAGGAAGAAAAATAAAAAATAAATAACATGTTTCATGACAATGGGAAATTACTGTATTTTTCAGTTGAATATACCTAGACGTTCTGATTTACTATTATTATTTTATAATTATTTTAAAATTTTGAAATAGACTTTGCAATTTGGATATTGATATTTAAATAAAAATGGGTAATTTAATGTGCAGTGAATTCGGACGAGTGCTTAATGACAAGAATGCAAGAGATGTCACTGGATTACCATTTCAAGGTGGAGCAAGAAGTGGGTTCATCTACACATGCCTTCTTTGGTTTCAATGGTAATTAACCCATTAATGGTTTACTTATTTACTCATGTCTTAAGCTCTTTTGATTGAACCAATCACGCTTAATTACATTTCAAAAGCTACTTTTTTGTTGACATTTTCTTTAACACTTGACAAATTCTAAAAGCAATGGTTCAACAGTTTACCAATTCATAAGTTGACTTTATATCAAAATAGTATTGGTCATTGATGTGCTAGAATATTTATTTTGGACTCTCTTGGTTCTCAAATTACTCTTGATAACGATTCTAAACAAACCTTAAAAAAAAAACAACCTATGACTAAGTCACATCAGCTTACACATATGTTCTGAGAATATTTTTCATAATTATCAACACAAGAACCTGTCAAACACTTGATTTCTACGAGCTATTTAATGATTTTTATAAAGTAAATTTTTTATTTTTATTTTTTGAATTTGATTAAGTGTATTAAAAAATTGCAGGAACTGCCGGTGTTTGGAGAATCGCCGCTATCAATGAGGCCGGTGGGTGGAAGGACCGAACAACAGTTGAGGATATGGATCTTGCTGTCCGAGCTGGTCTCAAGGGATGGCAATTTGTCTATCTTGGCGATCTCCAGGTACTTATTTAATTTTCTTTGTATGTGTATTCTCTGTAGTTCACATTGATGTTCAATTCAGTTCTTAGTTAGCCCTTTGTTTGTAGGGGACTTTACTCTTTCACTTCATTAGTCTGTATACATTTGACATTCGAATGATAATCAAGATCTGCATTGCCCACTTTAAGAACAATCAGACTCTAAACTCTGCTTCTCTGTATCTGTTTAGTGATTGAGTTGAACTAATATTTATTTATGCAATAGGTAAAAAGTGAACTTCCGAGTACTTTCAAAGCCTTCCGTTATCAGCAGCATCGATGGTCCTGTGGTCCTGCTAATCTGTTCAGGAAAATGGTGATGGAAATTGTTAGAAACAAGGTCAGTTTGTAGAAAGATACCTGAAAGTAATATATAATGGAACTAAATTGTTAAATTCTTCTTTAAATTTTTTTTTTCTTGGAAATTTAAGGAATTCAATCTTTTATTTTTATATTGCTGCAGAAAGTACGTTTTTGGAAGAAGGTATATGTGATCTACAGCTTCTTCTTCGTTCGCAAGATCATAGCTCACATGGTCACTTTCTTCTTTTACTGCGTTGTGCTTCCATTGACCATTTTGGTTCCTGAAGTTGAGGTTCCAAAATGGGGAGCCATCTACATTCCTTGCATCATCACCACTTTGAATGCTGTTGGAACCCCAAGGTCTTGTATACTTTGCAATTTCCTTTTTCACACATTATATATATATATGTATATATATCATATTCTTTACCCTTTTCAACTTGAACTGCAGGTCAATCCACCTATTGTTTTACTGGATCCTTTTTGAGAATGTGATGTCTCTGCACCGGACTAAGGCAACCTTTATTGGTCTGCTAGAATATGGGAGAGCTAATGAATGGGTTGTCACTGAAAAACTTGGAGATGCTGTCAAAAACAAAGCAAACTCCAAAGCGCCAAAGAAACTTCGATTTAAGATTGGAGACAGGTGAAATATCCTTACAATTCTCAATTTGCATGCGCACATATCAACAAAAAAAACTTAATATGCCCAAGTTTGTGAATTGTTGTTCATATGGGAATTTTTGCACACGAATGAATTTGAGCATGCTCGTGTGTCCTCACACACTAATGCTTTTGTTTTTTGTTTTTGTTTCTTGTTTTATTCTGAAATTGTCCTCACACACCAATTCTGTGTGTGTGTTTTTTTACAGAATACAACTATTGGAGCTTGGATTCGGAGCGTTTCTATTCTTCTGTGGATGCTATGATTTTCTGTATGGGAAAAACAACTACTTCATATACCTCTTCCTCCAGACCATAACCTTTACCATCATGGGATTCGGCTACATCGGCACAATCGTCCCTAGCTAGCTCTTAGTGGCGGCAGCAGCAGCAGCAGCAATGTCATCCTCAGCTACATTGGCAGAATTATCTCTAGCATTCATCTTACCGTGCTTTCGCGTCTACTTCAGCATATATATACAGAGTGCTTTCTGTTAGCAGCATTTGATTTTATTTATTTACAATCTCAGCTTGTAAAAACAAGAAAAGATCATTCATCATTGAGCAGGAAATTCATACCAAGTGTGTTTCTATATAAAAAAATAAAAAATAAAAAAAAAAATCTCTTGCTAGTCTGTGACCATTAGTATAGAAAACAGATATACAGTCAAGAAAAGGATGGAGCAGAAACACCACGAGTATAGAAAACAGGTCAATGATGTCATTGTTTCTTTCTTAATAGATTGTTTGTTTTAGTTTGGAGAGTAAATTAGGTGGTGGCAAAAAGGCCAAAGTTGTAATGAGAGTTTTTATCACTTTTGCAGTCTTTATCAGTTTCTCTATATCATTTTATGGAACTCTTCTTATTTGATAGCCTCAAGGATTTGTTTGGCATTTCGTCTGAATTAAACATATTTTGCTAATTTGAGTGCCTCTGCAATCTTTTGTACTGACAGAATTCACTAAATTACTTCTCAATTTTCAGACATTTTCCTATTTTGACCATGCAACCCGTCTGATAATATGACATCCCACATCCTCTAGGGAGAGGGTTGTCGACACTTGTATGTGTGAATCTCTTCTAATTAAGTAGATGTGTTTTGAAAATCGAGAGCACAGAGATATGGTTGTTAACACTTGTACGTGTGAATATCTTTTAGTTGAGTAGACGCATTGTTGACACTTATATTTGTGAATGTTTTCTATTTAAGTATACGGTATTTTGAAAATCGTGGACACAGAGGCACATATGAATGTCTGTCTTACCATTAAGTAGACGTGTTTTGAAAATCCTAAACATAGAAAGTCAATAAATCCTAAATTCTAAAAATAACTATCCCGCACGCAAGCCTGCAACCCAAAATTCAATACATAATTATTCTTAGTTTAAACTTCTAACTTTTTTTAAATTCAAAATGTGACAACTAGAACCCTAATGATTTAACCACACCTTAAAAGTCCAATAAAAGAAAACCAATCAATACATTTATTGGTGGCTAACTTGTGCTAATGGCTTATTTCAAACGCCTTCTCAACTTTTGAATAAACATTTAGGTTTTGAATCATTGCCTGCATCAAATTTAGTGTCCTCCATGATATTCAATAAGCACAATCTGCCATTATTAGTAATCCATCTTTCTTTCAGATACTCTAGGAGGGAGACATGAGGAAACATGTTGATTACTCACTTTTCATGCCTGTGACATGAATTATGTTTCTTCTAATAGAAGTGTTAATTAGTATTTGGATAAATCTTTCACTTTTACTAGGACAAATGAGACACAAGGATAAGGTCACAATTATAATCTTTAATGTCAATAATCCCCAAATATGTGTGTATAATTATGTACAATTATTTTAACGTGTCACTTTTTCAGGTTTCTTGACAGGGAAGGCCAAATCTCTTTGTTTAATTTATACCAAACAAAAGTTGACCTCAAACTTCTTTGCTTTATAGTCTTTTTTTTTAATTATATATATATATATATATATATAGGAATTGGAAACTTCCAAAGGCAATTTCTAATTGTCTTAAATTAAAGCCACTAATCAAGGGGTTTAAAGCATTTTCAACTCTTAGAACTCTTGTCCATATTGTGTGCGCCATCAATCTTGCTTACCATTGTGTCTTGTTTGTCTTTGCCAGGGAAAAAAAAAAAAAAAAAATCTTGCTTACCATTGTCACCATATGGTACTTATAATCGTGTTTGTCTAAAACGAATTATTTTATTAGTATCATTAAAGTAAAATAAAGTTCTACATATTTTACATACAGAGTAGCACAATGCAAAAGTGTTGTCACAGGATCTGGATCCCCTCTTGTCACTCGACAAATCATGTGCCTCAAAATGTAAACGTTAGGCAACAACGAATTCCTTTAAATACAATATATTCTTTTAAATGTAATAATATTAATTCAATTACTATCGTGTTTCAAAAGTACGAACCAAAATTACAAATCTCTCTCTCCCTTCGGGTTCACCCTAAACAATAGTGTTAAAACATTAAATCCGAAATAACGGTGTTCAAACGATGAACTATAAATATCAACATGGAGATTACAATGTGTATAACATTTGCTTATGAAATCTTTCCAATGATCCCTTCTTCTTTGTTGTGATTAGAGTTAAATAGGTGTTGGAGAGAGAAGAGAGGAAGAAAATTTGATCAATTATTAAATCTTTCTCTGATTGGGAATTAGTATTATTATATTTCTTTCGTCCCAATTTAAGTGTCGCTCATGGGGAACAGTAATTTTTAAGGAGAAATGTGGAATATGCATTGTTGACCTGGAAAAATTATTAACTTATGATTTTAAGTTTTGAATATTTAAGTTTAAAATTTTAAACTCAAAGGGATGTAAAATATATTGTTTGAAAAAGGAAAGTGGATTATAATTTTGGTATAGACAAAAAAGAAAAACATGATACTTATTTTGGGACGGAGAGAACATTAATATTGTAAAATAAATCTAATTGAATTAATATATTGTATTTAAAGGAATATATTATATTCAAATAAATGGACAAATGTTGTCTTAATTAGTTTTAGACTCTGATTTGTCACGTGATTCTCTACACAGGAGAAGATCCAAATCAGTTGTAACGAGATCTAAACAGTTGAAATATATGTTTGAGAGCCAATAATAGACTGAAGTGCAATATCGATGCTCAAGAAATGTGTGATATTTTAGGTAGTTAATACTCCGCAAGAAATTATGTTCAGAAAAAATAAAAAATAAAAAGGTGATGTATATGTATGTGTGTATATATATATATCATGTATACATATGTTACTGATTCTAGAGACTTGTAAAATAAAATGGTAAATTACCATGAGAATAAATGGAAGAGAGACGAGCAAAAATTAAAAGCATAGGTCTCTGTTTTTCTTTTTTTGTTTATAGAATAAATCTCTTTAATGTAACAATATAAATTCACATTGAGCTTGTAATACAATATTTCAAAATATATAGTCTTTGTAAAAGATGATGGGTAGATCTTATTCTTGGCTTCATATTGATAGGTCCTGATTTTCCACTCCCTTGATGACTTTATTGTTTCAAAAATAAAAATAAAAAATAAAAAATAAAAAGCAAAAAGCAAAAAGATGCATCACTTACCAAAAGAAAAAGCAAAAAAAATGCATGATCACAAGAATACCAACAAGAGGTACCGACGACTGTATTGAGTTTATAATAAGAGTGTCTCCAGAATCTCCCAAACTTGACCACCACCACTACTAAGCCACAACCAATATCTTCTCTGACGTTTGAGAGTATCTTTCACTACCATCACAAGTTTTTCAATCTTTAACCCCCTTTTTAGCAAAATTTTTCTGGGATTTGTCTCTTCCAAATTTATTAATCTTCTCTCTTCTTCTTGGATGACTTTGTGAAGGGTGGCAAAAAATCCTTTATTTTTATTTGTCATTATTCGCTTCTCTCTCACTAAAACACACACACACAAAGTAGGAGATTTGGAGGGAAATACCTACCAACCTTGATTAATGCCTTAATGGAAGAGATTGTGATAATCCTAACATTCCTGGTCCACACAAACATGTATACCGCCGAGTATGTATATATATATATATATATGATTGGTCCAACACCAGAGAAAAAAAAAAAAAAAAAAAAAAAAAAAAAAAAAAAAATTATCTGTAATAAGATTTGGGCATGTGATAGCTTATGTGGAGTTGGTGGTCCACATTTACACACAGTCACACACACACATTCACAAACAAACACAAAATTGGCAGATTATGGAAATGGCTGGTTGAGGGGTACTATTCTGATTGAATTATTGGTTGGGGTTTGGAACAAGAAATGTACTGTTACCATCCATTGGTCTGGTTGTAGCACTGACACCACTACGTGCTCTTTTCAACCCCACAGACATAAATATGGGACATCTTAGGCCCATTCTCTCTGCACCCATGAGTGGCGCTTCGTTGTAATGTCTGTATCACTCACGTTACATTCTATAAACTCAACTGCTCATTGAATTTTGAAAAACAAACATTGCTATTTTCACGCTGTCCCCACTCAATTACTCAGCTACCAAAATATTGCAACTATTAAATTAAAATGGCATGAAAGTCTATAGATTCTAGACATCATTAAGCACGTTTTTGTTTTTGTTTTTAAGTAAGAACAGGAGAAAGTCATGGCATGTTCACATCGATTGGAATACGTTTCGAGCAAGCTTAGTTGGTGTGTTAGTATTCGTATCTCCCTTTCATTAGTTTTTTACCTCAACAATTTCATACATTTATATGTAATTAGTCAAGTATGTTAGTTACTTGGGCCTGTTTGGCAACATAGTTACTTTATACTTTTGCTTTGACTCGAAACAAAAGCAATTCTATTTTGGAGTGTGTTAAATACTATTTCAAGGCCGGTTGTGATAATGTATATTTGTTGCAAAAATTTTTGAAGCAAAAACATATAAACATGTTTGACAAACAAGTATTGCAAGTTTGAAAAATAAAATGGCTAGTTAAAAACAATTTTTTTTTTTTTTTTGGTAAACAGTGCTTTTGCTACAATGCGGGAAAGCAATTAGAAGCACCAATTTAGTACTTCCGGTTTTGGCTACTTTTTTGAAAGCGCTTTGATACAATTCAAATCAAGAAAAAAAAAAAAGAAACACAAATTGTTGACAAACAACCCTTAGTTTTTAATTTTTTATTTGGAGTTTATAACTTTCCATTATCTTTCATAAACATGGGAAATTAATGGTTTCCTTCTATTTTTTCATGCAATTTTCTTAGATATTAGAAAAATTCTTGTTAGCCAATTTATTGCATGTGATTCAAATATATTTTCTTTCAATTTTTTTCTTTTTTTGTTGGAAGAGGAGGCAGAGGTACACAATAAGCATATGTTCTAATAACATCAATGAAAGCAAGGGGTTAGGAAAAATTAAAACATGGGCCAAAGATCACCAATTAAGCTTTCAGTCATGCTTAAAATGAGTAACTAAAACAACTAATAGAGTTGAAACCTCCTGCCTAATATTGCAGATCTCTTCTTCTATTTAGTCTGCAACACTTGTATCAGATTGGGCCCAATTAACTTCCGAATCTAATTCCATGGAGGTTGTGGAAACCACTCATTGTTGTGTTGAGCTTGAAGCCTAAACTCAAGGGTTTGGACCAACTAATTGGGCCCAATGGGCCAATGGATTTCACCTTAAGACGATTGGAGAGCCCATTGGCTAATAGCATGAGCCACCACACCCTCTAAGTGTCCAACATTTAACAAAGCAAGAAACTTCCATGGTTTGACAGAAGAGATTGATGCTATATGCTTTTACGGATAGTAGAAAATTTAGTTTAAAATTTGAATTGATTTTTTTTTTTTTTTTTTTAATTTCAAATTCAAAACACCGATTCATACTCTCAAATTCAAATGTTTCTATTAACACTTCAGAGGTTGTTAGAGGAGTCAAATTCATCAGTATATAACCTTTTAAATATAGGTAAAGCCACTCTAGTTCTCTACTAAAATTACACCTAAACAAATAATATATATATATATTAATTAGATTAGAATTTGTATAATGAAAATGCATTTATATAAAATGAAGAAATTCTTCATCATGTTACCATTGGTTAAAGTTATGAAATGATAAATTAACGCAAGGTAATTTTTTAATTTCTCATAATGTGCATTTCTCTAGTGAAAAACAAATTTTGTGTAGGTGTGGGGAAAAATACATATATATAAAAGAAAAAATGTAAAATCAAATGAGCAAAATAAAAGAAAATGAGAGTTTTGGAATAATTAGAACATACTTGATTTGTAACTCCAAAAACACTTCTCAAAATTCAAAAAATAGAAAACTATTTTCAAAGAATTATAAAAGAAAGTTTCCGAAAATAGACATTTTTATAATTGAGATTTAAAAAAATTAAATCAAGTGAAGTTTTTTAACAGTTTTCTTATTTTCAATTTTTTGAATTGTTTTAAGAATTACACCATACAAACCAAACATGTTCTTAAACTATGAAGTTTTATCAAATTTTTTTATACCAAAATATAAAAATCAAGAAAATGTATACAAAATAAATAAATAATATATATATATGTAAAGGCATACGTAAAGCCATTGGCATCAGATAGATCTCTTATCTCAGTAAATGTCAAAACAAGTAAGCGTTTGTAGTCCAACGGTTAGGATAATTGCCTTCCAAGCAATAGACCCGGGTTCGACTCCCGGCAAACGCAATTTTAATTTAAATTTTTTTTTTTTTTTGTCTATTATTTGTTTGGCATCTGGTTTATTATTATTGGTGTTTTGGTTTTGCATTTTGGGCCCATATTACGTCTGGGGTGGGCTAACACTGGGCTAAAACCATATCATTTGTTGTGGGCACTGTAGCGGACACATCACGTATAAATACAACTTTCTAAACCTCGGGATGAGTTATGGCATCTCGTTTCTCTCTATTCTTGCAGCACTGAAATCCCCTTTTTGTGGTTGATAGACCACTAATCCTACGTTTTTCTCTGCAATCCCCGTTGATGCTTGCTTTCGATCGTGTCTGTTCGTGTTTGCTGGACAAATTTCAAAAGTTTTCCTCTGTTTCTTCCACTCGATCGTGTCTGTTCTCTGGCGTGTGAGGCGATTCAAAGCCTCTTCCACCGAAACCCTAATTCGTGGTTGCTAGAGGGAGGATCTCACGTTTTCGTCTCTTTTTCTCTGATTTCCCCACGGTATGTTTGTGTGTATATATGATTGTGCGTGTTGTGTATATGTCTTGGGGGTTTTATTGCTGGCACAAATTGATATTTTTCCGTCTTGAATGACTTGGAGTCTTACTTAAATAAAGAAAGAAGGTTTAGGAAATCATTCATCATCATTCGATTGAAATCTCCAATTTTAATGAGAGAATATTGTTTCTCTTGATTGTAAGATCAATAAATAAATTTCAAGGGTCCAATGACTAATTTATGTATGAGATAGGATCTAATTACCTTTTTCGGTAACATGTTAAATGCCAATTTGTGTTTTAATTAAGTTTGAAGGTGATGAATTTCGACCTTAAACCAGGGCATTAATTCTAAAGCACCCAAATGTGGCACAAGAGACTTATTTAGTAGTCCCGGACCATTTAAAGGTGGATCCAGTATCCCACTAAAATGTATAAGTTTTTATATCTAATTTTTTATTGGAAGGATGACTTTAGATCATCCAAGCTGAAACCTCCTCTACCTTCTTTTTCTTCCCAGAAAATTTTAAACCGCTCTAAACAAGATGTTGGCCAAAATCAGATAATCCAAAAGTTAGCTGATCATTCTAATTACTAATTATGCAATATGTTATGGCCCATCATTCAAATCCAATTCACACTTAATAAGAATATGGTGCTTAAAGAATTTGAGAGACTTCAATTTAAGATATTTATGAGTTCTAGATGGACCTGGCTAGACAATCATGAAACCAAGCTAGTTTATTGGCTTGGATTTTTGCTTTTTGTATGTTGTATGTATATAATTTTGTATGTGCTTGCGTGTGGCTGGTGTGTGTAAGTAAAGATAGAAGCAACTTCAGAATAAGCGGGGTGTATTTGCGTGTGCAGTTCATATGCTTGAATGTTTTTATATGGTGGTGATAGTAGTGTAGAATTTTGTGTTTGAATGTCTCTATATGGCACAGTGGTAATGGTAGTTGTATAAAGCTTCAACTTTTATCCTTTAAAGCATGCTTTGGAGTTGAGAATTGTGTCCCTAACTGGTTCAAAAATGTTCCCTTGCCGTTGTTCTCTGCCTTGTGACTTTTTCTTGTTTTGTCATTTATTTTTTTCTTAATAAAATTTTAAATCTAAAGTGAAGAAACATTTTACTTTGGCAGCTTGATTTGCGTCTGCAACAAACAAATAAGACGCGTACAATATCAGGTGACACTTTATATTGTTTCAACTGAGAAGAAAGAGGACTTGATTGTTTGTCATCATTGATTCGGAATCAAAACCAAACCCTAGAGACAGAGAGATTCGATTCTATTATGGCGGAACACTTGGCTTCGATCTTCGGCACAGAGAAGGACAGGGTGAATTGTCCGTTCTACTTCAAGATCGGAGCGTGCAGGCATGGCGATCGCTGTGACAGGCTTCACACCAAGCCTAGTATCAGTCCTACTCTTCTCCTCTCCAACATGTACCAGCGTTCAGATATGATCACTCCTGGTGTTGACGCCAATGGCCAGCCCATCGATCCACGCAGAATGCAGGAACACTTTGAGGTAAACACGCCCCCTATATCTTTCTCTCTACACACACACACATGTTTGTGTATGCTCGTCTCTTTGTAGGTTATGGAACGTTAGGTTTTGTTTATTGAATTTGTATTGATTGCAATAGATATAAGTGTTAGTTTCTTTGCAGCGATGGTTTCCTTGTCACAGATCCTCTTAGGGTTTCTTATATGTTTCAATTTGTTGATCTCTGACTATATTCTCTATGTATATATATGTGCGTATATGTCTGTACAAATATACATAGATACACATGTATTCCCCGTGGTTATTCCTGATTAATTTAAAAGTTATTTTTTTAATGGCCACAATTGTGTTCATATCTGTTTGTTTTTAACTTTTATGTTTTATTGTGCTCTCGTGGAAGAGCTAAAAACAACCTTTATCAACCTGTATTTGTGATGCGTTTGTAGTTTTCGCAATCTCTTGTTGTTTTCTGTTTTTTAATTTGGCTTATGGTTTCCTAAGATTTGTCTAGTTTTGTTAATATTCATTATTTTGATTTTTGTTAATAAATATCATTTTGATTTTCTCCATTCAATTGATCCTTAGAACGCATCTGTTTGTGGTTGTTGATTGTGAAATAGATGTATGGTAACAGCTACTGGATACTTGTATAAATCTCTTGTTATGGTTTTTAAGATCAACCATATTTGTGATTGATTCAGTTTTGCAAATATGTATGCTTGTGATACACATAATTAATTGTTTGTTTGTAACTATGCTTTGCTTGTTGGAGATTTTTATTAGATATGTAAGTTTTGAATTGATGATCACAGGTTTAGGTTTATGATGATCAGTTGCTCTATTACTGATCAAGTCAAGCTTTTTGTTTCATAAGCCACAAGTTACCTGAAAGTTTCTTTTTTTTTTATATTTTTTGGAACATGCTAGAGGTTTATTATACTTTTTTATTGTTTTACTTCTCAATCTGTTTACTTCATGTACTGGCAGAATTTGATATTTTTTCTTCTTGTGTTCACACATTCAATTGTATGTGTGATTGGCTGATACTAAAGAATACATACCAAAAATTGACATTGTAATTAAAAGGCTGTCTGCGGATTTTCTAATCATATATTTCTATGCATGATTTTGGTTTCCCTTTGTAGTAAGCATGTTTCCTATTAGACTAAGTTTGGGGGTTCATTTTCTTTTTTCTGCAACTATAGAGTGGTTGGCTAAAAAAAAATCTGTAGATTGGTTGGAAATGTAAATGCTCAAAATGTATGGTTCAACTTCATTCATTGGTTGTTTCCTTTTTATTTTTTATTTTCTGTAATATCTGTAAGTTTATCTACTCTCTGCATATTTTAGTTGGTTATATGTATGGTATGTATGGTATCTAAACTAGAACAATCTTTTACTATGTGCCAATAGAAGGTCGGTAGTTTCAGACTCTGTCAAGAATAATGTTTTAGCAACTTCTAATTAGTTCTTGTGAAACCCTAGGATTTCTATGAAGATCTTTTTGAGGAACTGAACAAGTACGGAGAGATTGAGAGCCTGAACGTATGCGACAACCTGGCTGACCACATGGTAACTTCTCTTGACCACTTCTAATTCAAATTTTTGTTTCTCGTGAGTTTGATTTTCATTGAACAACAATAACAATTTTTCTTTGGCGGTGTTCAAAAATTTCCTGTGCTTCTTGTTTGATTTGTTGTATGATATCACTTCTGCTTTATTGGCAGATTGGTAATGTTTATGTTCAGTTTAGAGAGGAAGAGCATGCTGCGAACGCCCTTAAGAAACTGACTGGAAGATTTTATGCTGGTAAGTTCTTTTGATTTCATCTTTTTATCTATATGCAGTTTGGGTATTGCATCCATATGCATTCCTCCTCTTGTATTTTACTTGTTACCAGAATATAATTTCTCATAATCTTAACTTATTGTTCTTTATGCTATCTAACAATAATCGATAATCAACTCCGCAGGCCGTCCTATAATTGCTGACTTCTCTCCAGTTACTGACTTTCGGGAGGCCACATGTCGGCAATATGAGGAGAATTCTTGCAATCGTGGTGGATATTGCAATTTTATGCATCTGAAAACGATTGGCAGGTAATTTTTGGTCTTTAAGCATTTTTTAATAGATCTTTGTTTGAAAACTAAACCTGTGTTTATATTCCTGGCTGTTTACTTTTGCAAATATTAGGGAGTTGAGACGCCATTTATTTGGGAGGTATCGAAGGCATAGCCGAAGTTGTAGCAGAAGCAGAAGTCCTTACAGGCATCACAGCTATGAGGAGCGCCGTGGTCATGGCAGAAGATATGATGACATGGATCACCCCGATGAAAGCCGTAGCAGGAGGTGCAGGAACACAAGTCCTGCCTACAGGAGAGGACGAAGCAGGAGCCCAGGTGGAAGGAGGAACCGGAATCCAGTTAGGGAAGGTAGTGAAGAGAGACGTGCTAAAATTGAACAGTGGAACAGGGAAAGGGAAGAGGCAGAATACGCAAAGTCGGCCAATTCTGATGCGGGGAACAATAAAAATGAACCCAGTTACAATGGGTATGAGCAAAACGGGGATCAGTACTATGGTTATCAGAAAAACCAGCAAGGCGGACATGGATATTGATTCATTTTGTCTGGTTAGTCTACTCTCTTGTGTTTGTTACATTGCACTTAATTTGTACAAGATGGTTACTTTTTTTCTTTTTCTTTTTTTAACAAAGACCCCATATAGTAATAAGCTTACAGCCATTTTCCACTGTGCAGGTGGCGTGCAGGTTTACATTTCTGTGAAATGGATGTGAAAATTTTCTCCCTTTTATGTTTCTTTGCTTTTGTTACTGAGTTATGCTTTCCTTGTGTGCTTGAGTGCATGTTGTTTTTTTGATGCTTTACCACATTCATTTATTTTTCTAAACATTTTGACCTCACCTATTTACTTCCAGTTTCTTCTCAACCATAATTTATTCAACCAAATCACTTTCTTCAATTTTTATTTTTTAATGCAATCCCCATGTGTATATATCAATTCTGTTGTATTATACATGTTATATATTTTCCCTTTTATGTTTATTTGCTTTTGTTACTGTCAGCAGTATGCTTTCCTTGTGTGCTCGAGTGCATATTGTTCTTTGATGGTTACCACATCTATTTCTTTTTCTAAATATTTTGACCTGACCTATTTCCGTTCCTTCTCAACCAATTCACTTTCTTCAATTTTCAATTTTTTAATTTAGTTCCCTTTCTGTCCCTAACTGTTTCCCAACTATTGGTATATCAATTCTGTTGTCTTATGCATGTTATAAAACCTTTTATTGATTTTTTTGTTGTTCTTTTGTTTGTTTGTTTTTAATATTTAATTAAATAACTGTATAGTATAGGATTTATGATGTCCGACTTTATAAAATGGTTTTTTTCTATGTGTACTATTTAAAGTTAAAATTTTATTTTTTAATATTTTTCTGAAGTTGACTGTACTGTCTGCAATCCTGCTACCTGTTTAATGATATTTTGATGACAGATTGACTTGTACTGTGGTATATCTATTATTCCTTTTTTCTTTCTTAATTATTCCTTATTTCTTTTACCTTTTTGTCACCTGAAAGAAAGTTCCTTTTTAGAATATCACATTCAGAAAATCATTTCCCGTGGTGATATTCCTAGTATGTACATCAAATTGCAGCCTTTCTGGAATTTTAAAACTATCAAATGCTAAAATGTTTTATCACAGTTTCTCACGGTTACAATTAGATCAATTTCTATGACATGATCAGTTCTGGTAGGTTGCGGATATTTCTAAGTGTCCAATTTGTCGAGTTCACTAGAAAAAATATTTATATTATGCCATGTTCTTTTATTTTTTAATGGTGAAATGAAATTATGTTTGACTTTGTGTTGAATCAATTCCTCTACACAATTTTGTTCATGTGGGCCTTTTTGTGCATTGTTTTCTCATATTGTTTTTTTCCACTTCTCTTTGAATCCCGATGATGAAGTTAAATAATTGAGAGTAAAAAATTGCTTGTAATTGATCCACGTCATTTTGAGATGTTGCTTTGCTGTAAATGCATTTATGCTGTTTCTTGCAGTCAGACATTGTTGATCAACTTACATCCAGGCCAGTGAATTTTATAATTTGCACGAGTTTATGTAGTATATATATATATTATATATTTGAACTGCAGTTTTTGAAGTCCGTGATCTTACTCTTATTATGAGTTTTGCAGGTTCGGGTATGAGGAAAGAGCACTTGTTTTAATTGCAGCTTACCATGAAATTTGTTTACAGGTTGTTTGGTGCGATCTATGTTAGAGGCTTGGGTAATAACAACAGATGGAAGATGTGCTGAAGCTCAGCTGCTGATAAGGGTCTCTGGTGGTTTAGTAGTTTTTTTAGCTTTACTGGAGTTTGGTAGTATTGTTGTTAACATTTGCAGGACTTGCAGGGCGTTTCATCTACTGTTTTGTAACTCAACTCTTTGGTTATTTTTCAATATACAAACTGTGTGATTGGTATCATATATGGGTGGTCAAATTTTGCAAACTTATTGTGTTCTTATTTATTTATTTTTCTATTGTGGTTTTGTTGGTGGACTATTGATGGACTAAGATGTGCATGGTTTTGATATGCATACTATAATAATATATTTTGTATTCTATCGCGTGGTGGACTAGTGGGAATGGTGACTTGCCATCATAGGTTGGCTTTCGGTGGCTCCCTCAGATATACAGTATATATATAATCGACACATCTCCTGGATATAATTGAGGTGTGTGTACTCTGTTGTAGAAAAATTGTACCACCAAACTAAGTCTAATTCGTCCCTAACTTTGGAGTTTTGAAAGCAGTCGTTTTTTATAAATTGATAGGGAATGTACAAGTAGACCAAAATGAAGCCAAGTTTGTGTGGAATTTGAGTTGCTTGAAGATTTTACAATTGAATTGAGTTGTCGCTCATTAAATAAACAAATTGATTTAGGCAGGCGTAAACATTAAGCCTTTGAGGTGTTTCGTGAACATGGATAGACTTATGTAGTCCAAATAGGCTTGAATGCATTATGGTGGTAATACATATATATAGTAATAATAATATAATATACATATAATAATAATATAATATACATATATTTCATTAAAAGCAGCAACCTGTGATGGAAAGTTTCAACCCAAAGCTCAAAAAAAGTAGCAACCTTGTGTTGAAAGTTCCTACGCGGCGTGTTGTACATGGTGGGTGATTTTTTTTACGCTGTTTCGTTGTGTTTTGTTAGATGTATTGCTGTTAGACTTGTTTCTGTCTTGACGAGGTAGATTTACTTTTCGCCTTTGTGTGAGTTTTGTGATTCCCGCTTCTGTATGGATTAGTTGCCTTGACGATGGCCTGACCCATGAGTCGCTCCCGTTGCTACTTTTCTCCCTTGGTAGATTCCGTTGTTTCTCAACAATTTTTGTACGACCATTTATGACGTTCCTTGTAAATGCCGTATGGCTGTTTTTTTTATTGTCAGGTAAAAAAAAAGGAAAAAAAAAAAAAGAAAGAAAAATGCTACTCATTGCATGCCATTCAAATTCGTGATGAAAGATCCTCCCATGAAGTGCTCAAAGATAACAAGTCAAGAGTCCCACGTACATCAAACAACTACCATTTGTACTCATTATCAAGAGACCGCCTATCCCTTTTGCTCTAAGTGATATCTCCACTGCCTTTCACAAGTTCAAGTTACTATATTTGCACTTTATACTTAAATGACAAATATCCACATTTTAAAATTCGAGCGAATTTATCAAAAAGAGTTAAAAGACTCCATTTTATATGTTCACCCAAATATATATATATATATATATATATATATGAGGGAGGAGGAGGGAATCTAAAAAAATCAGAAACATATATGATATATTAATTGTGCATGCTAATGAAAAATATGCATAATATTAAAGATGTCCAAACCGAAAGACATGAATATATATATTCCTAGATTAATATAGATTTGTACAACTTTTCCAAACCTAGCTATTTCTACACTTATTAATAAATATAAATAATAATAAAAAAAATATAGAGAGGAATAGCCAGACGGTAAAAATAAAAAGACAATAACTAGGGTCGTTCACAGCAAGAAGTTCATGAACTTGAGCCACGGAACACCAATCTTTGTACCTTCCTCAGCTTCTTTTGAACATGATGAGGACGCTACACCACCGCCGCCGCCGCCACTTTCGGTGGCAGAGGTTTTAGGGCATATGTACAAGTTTCTGGATCCCAACGTTATTAGTTTCTCCTCTCTATCCAAACCTGTCCACAAAAACCAACTTAATTAGTGCTTTAGGACTTGTTTGGTCCAATTTTTTCAAAAAATAATTGAGCCTAAATTTTTTTTAAAAAAGAATTATAAAAAATTAACTTTGTCAGAACATAATTTTTTTAAACTAAAATTTCAGAACTTATCAATTAAATAGAATTTTGTACAATTTTTAATTTTTAAATTTTCAAAAACCTGAAAACCCCACTTAAACCGCTATCAAGATTTCAAAACAAAAAATATTTTCAAAAAATTATACTAATAAGATTCGAAATGAGATTTTTTTTTTTTTTTGGGGTACAATTCTCTGATTTTTAATTATCAAAAAATAAAAAAATCCTTCTCAGACAACTGAACCAATAGGCAATTCTCCGAATTGCTTGCCAATAGGGTCAGAATCTTCGAATCAACGGTGATAATCATCGCTACAAGGAATTTACACTCATCAAACGACTAGTATTACGAGATATTGAACAAGTTGATCATCAACCGTCAAACAAAAATTACATCGATCAAACAGCTAATTTAGAAAGAGAGAGAGAGAGAGAGAGAGGGAGAGAGTACTTACTTTCTAAGCTAAACTGCGAGTAATGGAGGTCGAAGCCAGATGGATGGCCCGCCAAGGTCGGCCGTCTGCCTTCCTTGCCGTACTGCCGCAGAGCCGCCGCTATCAAATCACCAACCGTCGATTCAGGCGCCATCAACACCTGTACGGCCCCGAGGCTCCTCTGTACCGTCACATTCAGGAGCAACTTCGTCAGCTTCGGCCGTCCGTCCAGCGATACACCGGCAAAACTCCCACCGGCTAGCAAATCCGGCACCGTCCTCGGCCGCAGAAGCTTCTCCCCCACAGTTCCTAGACTCCGTCCGTGAAACGACGACGATTTCTCCCCAAGCCTCGACTTCCGGCTCTCCTCTCGTCCTCTCCGATGATTTTTCGAAGTCGACATCTGATTATGCGTTTGTATATATATATGATCGATATATATGTGTATATATAGATGAATTACGTATATGATTACCTCAATCGGCGGTAACGGAAGAACCTGAGACGAGGGAAGCCGAGAGCTGGAGTTGAGAATGGGCTCTCAGATTCCCGATTTCCGGCAGCTATCATAGACAGGGTGGTCAAACGTGGTAAATAGGAAGGCCGGCGAGGGCATAGATGTAAAAGAGGGAGGGGTCAAAGGGTGAGGAAGAACACAATATAATGCATATGATAGATGCATGTATTTATACATATATGAATTATGAGGAAGCAGATGGGGAGGGGGGACGAAGACAAGGAGAGCCGTCTCAGAAGCCCGCTTGATTTTTCATTATTGGTGACCGGCTAAGCCAGTTGTAGAGAGAGAGAGTGCGTGTGTTACTGCATATTTTCAGTAAATTTCACTTTTTTTGGGGAAAAAAAAAGTTTTTAACAAGAAACAAATTTTATCCAAACTCAACATGAGACCATCAAATCCTACTAGGGGCATGAATATGGAGTATGGACACTGACGCGAGAAGAGAGAGAAATATATTATAATTATATATATATATAAATAATATTTTTTATTATTTCATTCATATAATATATTTTAAATTGTAATGAATTTTTTATTTAAAATATAATTACAAAATCATCTATTTTGAATTTATTCATGATATATCCCAGCCATGTCCAAATTAGGTATGCATGTCCAACAAATTCGGACCATATTGGCGTAAATTAGTAGCTAGGAGGGAAGTATTTTCTGCTTTTGAGATGTAAATGTGGTTTCAAATGGTCAAGCGTGAAAGACAGTTGCACTGAATAGACTTTACCAAAACAAGCGGTTGTAGTGGATGGCTTCCACCGCTTATTGCCGGTTCACTGAACCATGTGTGGGGTCTGGTCTGGTCTCGCTTTTGTCCGATCCTCAACTGATTCCACTAAAGTGCGCCGTTCTAATTCGACGGTGATGACTGTTACTGACGAGTATACATTAGTGAATGGTGAATGTTGTTCAAGTGCGACGTCAGTGTAGTTAGGTTTTTGTGATCTGGTGGAGGCGGATATAGACGGTACACATACTGTTAGTGACACGCGTCCATCCTTAGCCTCCTTTGTCTTCCGTCCACGTCATATCACATGTTTTGCGTGAGGTCATACTCCAATTATTATAGACTCTGAGAATGTAGACGCTCTAAGCCGAAAAAATTATTGGTTTAATTGTGTCTTGATTTAATTAATTATTCGTTGAATACTAAATATACTAAACAACCATCTCATGTGACACTATTGTGCAGTTGCTTAATGGAAATATCTCACACTCCATTGCGTCTTTTAGTGCATTGGAGAAGGTTATAATCATTTCAGCAACAGAAATTTTCTTATCAATAATTGTTATTGTAATGTGCTATACGAGAAACATCATCTTAATAGTGTTATGGGGGGAAAAAAATTCTCTTTATTTACTCTCTAACGTTCAGTGTGGTGATTAACACCATATTTCTAACATAGTTTTGTCATCGCTAAGTCAGTAAGGTAAGTAAAATTTTTACTAATTTACACTTTATTTTACCATATATAGAAATACTAATTTATACGATTATATTTTATACAATATATTATACTACTAAAAAAATACCATTTAACTTTAACTTTTTATTTAAATTAAAATACTTTTTTATTTTTTCTCTTCTGTATCGAAATTTATTGGTATATTGTTTATTCTTCTTCTGTCCCAAATAATGTAAATGCACAATAACAAACAAATTGAATTTCGGGTTGCCCTCCAAACAAGGTAAATTAAATACGTTTCAAATTTTGGTTTTACAGATTTTTTATTTCATCAGACATAATAACTCAGACTTCAAATTCTTTTGATAATCAAAGTCACCCCTGGATTGTCTCTAAATAAAATAATAGTTATTTTCTCATTTAAAAAAAATAAAAATAAAATAAAAATCACAGTCTCTCACTTACAATTGCCAAATGGCAGGAATATTATTCCTAAATAGGTCTGATTTTGTTTCTTTGAAGAGAGAGTTCATTAATCACGAAGCATCACTTATGCAATGTGTTTTGAATTTGCTTTACGTTTGATCTGGTTTTGCTTCCAGTTCCAAACTTAATTTTGATGAGGGGAAATTTTCATTTCGTTTGGATGCAGAGCTGACTTTTTGAGAGGAAGGTTTTGTTTTTACTTTTTGGAAAAGTTTAATTTTCAATTTTTTTGCCACTTATTTTGTCAAGTGGGAGTGAAAATTAAATTCATTAAATATTGCAATATATATATGTTTTATACAAAAGCTATATAAATTGTGAGACTCATAAAGTGAAAATTAAATTCATTAAATATTACAATATATATATATATATATATATATATATATATATATATATATATGTCTTATACCAAAATTGTATGTATAAATTGATAGCTTGGTAAATGCAAATTTAACTTAGCTTTCCAGTGAGAGAGTAAATGGAGAGGATTTTTTTCCGTCATGTAGTGGCTGAAGGATTCAATCGGGCTGCAAAAAAAAAAAAAAATTAAACATGAAGGAAAAGCAAGTGTCTTTTTCTAATATATTTAAGTTCTTTCAACATCTCAAATCTTTATCAAATTTAATCTTAAAACATGATCTAACAACCCAATCTTTTTCAAATTTAATCTTAAAACATGATTTAACAATCCAATCTTTTTCAAATTTAATCTTAAAACATGATCTAATTAACAACACGATATTGTGAGTCAAAATTCATATTTAGTTTTTTCTATAATATTTTATTAAAATTCATGGGTTAGTCTTTCTTAATTAGATAGCTTTAATCCGAATGAATCACATAATTTAGGAAAATCTACCAATTTCTTTTATTTAAGATGTAAAACTTAATAATTCATCTGAAAATCTCGAAAATGAATAATGGGAGAATGTGAACCATCCTGGAAAGAATGATTGATTGTGTTAAATTTTTCTTCAAAACCATCTTATAACACAACGAAAACAAACACCAATTAATATGCTTCAAAAGTAAGAGAGTTTGAATGATTTCAAAATTTAATCATCACCCCTTTTTCCTGTGTGTGATAGCAGTCGGCAACAACCAAATATATTCCTTTTAAACTCATGTTAATCAATTTTTTTTTTTTTTTTTTCAATAAAGGGCATAAAACTCACCCGAACTATCAGCCAATTTCATAAAATCTCCCTAAACTAACAATTGCCCCCGAACTTTTAAAAAAGTGAACTTTGAGGACAAAACCAAAAGTGGCTGGCACAAGAAATAGCCGGAGTTATAAGATTATCATATTGTCCTTTAGTGGAAGGACACCGTTGTATCATTTTAGTACATGTTCTTACTAATGTGTTAAATACAATCTTAGCAGGTCACAGCTCACCTTATCACAATCCACTAACGGCTAAACACCACCTTATCGTCCTTATTTTAGTACCAAAATTGTAATGACTCACTCCACAACATGGTATGATATACATATAAGCACTTCACCTTTTCACGCAATGGAGCCGTAGACAGTCAAGTGAAATTCAATCCACGAAAGAATTTGATCTATGGACAGCATCGTTGTGGTAAAGATCGTAATGCCACCGCAGGGCATAGAGGGGGAGGTCATAAGCGTCTATACCGTAAAATCGATTTTCGACAGAATGAAAAAGACATATATGGTAGAATCGTAACCATAGAATACGACCCTAGCCAGTGTGGTAGCCTGACAGTGTCTCTCGCACCCGCCCACGACACACTCAGCCACGGTGTCATCACAATCCACAATCCACCTCCCTTGGAGACCCGACGTCCCCGTCGGCACACTTCCGACTGGGTCAGGCTCTGATACCATTTGTAACGACCCATTCCACCACATTGTATGATATTGTCCGCTTTGGGTTTGAGCTCACACGGTTTTGCTCTTGGGTTTCACACCAAAAAAGCCTCATACCAAGACACACTTACATATAAGCACTTCACCTTTCCTCTACCCAGGCGATGTGGGACTGTGCACCCGTAGCTCGCCAGTGTGGTAGCTTGACAGTGTCTCTTGCACCCGTTCACGGCACACCGTCCACAGGGTCATCGCCGATCAATAGCAACCTCTGGCACCGCTTACCAGTCCACGACTACCACCGACGACAACCTCGCCCGATTCCTGAAATTTTGATTGGGGACCCAATTTGGCTAATCAACCCAAATTAATCATGAAATCAAACTCAATTAACTCATTAACGGAGACGGAGTGAAGCTCTGGATTTTGCTGTTGTCGTTGTTGCTTGTCCTCTCTTGGCAGCTATGGCTATTTTTTATTTATTTATTTATTTATTTTTTGTATGAATCTTCGGAATCTGACGCCCGCCATGATTGAGCTGTCCACCGTTCTTGGGTTTGAAAATTTAGGCAAAAAAAACCTTTGTTTGGAGAATTGGTGATGATGATGGGTTGGTGTGGTCTACATTTTACTTTTCTTTGTATGTTGATGATGAGTTTGCATATTTGTTGGTTCGGGATATTCCATCCACCAGAATTGTTCATTGATTTGATGATTTTCAGGTTTTGGTTTGCTCTATTTTGTGTAAGATTATGCTCTTGGTAGCCTAAAACTATTAGATTTTTTTTTTTCTCCAATAATTAGTGATTCGGCCATTCTCATCTTCTAAAAAATGAGTAAAAGAACAATTGAAAGAAATTTTATTGCTTACTAATATATATACATCGGCTTCAGTTTTTTAAAGAAATTGTATTGTTTGTTTATATATATATCTAGCTTTAGCAAGATGGTTTGTTATTGAGCAACAAATTTGAGGGTTTTTTTTTCACATTATGCCCAACATATACATATATGATACATACATATATGTATATATACATATCCATCATATGTTAGCTCTTAAACTGTCATATATTCATTTTGCACCTTCAACTTCATCTTGATTTTGTGAACAAAACTTATGGTTCGGACTGTTGATTTGCAAGAATGGCAATTAAGAAGAAAAAAAAAAGATTTGCAGAGAATGACCTCCATAGAATAGAGAGAGAATGAAGCTATAATAGGAGTTAGGATTAACAATGACAGATTGGGCTTTCAATTGGGGTTTTATATGGTATTGGTAATAAGGGCAAAATTGTCATTTTGAAAGTGTAGCATAGGTCACATGCCAATTTCCAATCGGAATAGTATCGTCTGGTGTTTTTCTCAAAAAATAAAATAGTTTAAGAGGTTTTTTGTCAAAATAAAAGTTCAGGAAGA